AATCCCAGAACAAAAGAGCAATTCGGCTTCAAATTTGTGTAATGACGTAAGGCGGAGCAAAGTTAACCATCGTATATACAGTCTATGGGTATCATTCAATATGTGATTCCATGGGCTGTTAGCATCAGCAGTCCATTCTTAGTAAATCCACCACTGCTGATATGAATACAACCTTGCTTCCTCCTCTTGAAATAAAGAAAAGTATTTCACCTGAATTTACAATGCAACTTTTCAACAGTTTATGTCATTAGGGAGAGACATGAAATGAAAAACCCTGCAAGAAAGCCAGCTACACCTGTTGTTTGCTGTCTTTGAATTAATCTCTTGTCACTCCCCTGTGCTCTGCCTCTGTGTAAGTAAGAGTCAGTTTCTTAAATTTCATCATTAAGATGGCAACGATGCAGTGATTTCCCTCTACACATGTTCAGTCCTCCATATGGGACATTCAGAGAAGTGAAAAATGTTCCAGCAAAGTGAAATATTGCTCCAAACTTCAGAGAAGGAAAAAGTGACGGGCAAAAAGTAGCACTGGGCCGCTGTGTATGCTGGTATCTACATGAAAGCTGAGGAAGTAAAGGGTTCCCAGCGGCACAGATAAAATAGGAGATAGAGAAGAGCTGTTAGCTGTGAAAAGTCTTTTTTGTTTCTTCTCTTAAAAAAGTGACAAGGGGAAGCAGTAAAAAAGTAATAAGTTTGGTTCAGCAGCAACTCTTTGACAACACACTGCTGGCTTGGGTTTGTTTACAGGGTACAGTGACAGAGAGTCTGCTGAGAGAGTGGACCAGGAAATTTCTCTAAAAAAAATTGGTCTTTCTTTTTCTTTCACAGCCAAATACACTGTCAACCTCATGATAGTGAGGTTAGGATAGTTCTGTTATCAGTTTCTTGGTTTTAGCTCAGGAAGCAAACCGAAGCTGGAAATGACAGAAGATCAAACAGAATCTGCTCGGCCATCATGAATGTAGATGCAATCATAAAGATGTGATTGGAATATGGATGACCAGCTACCATATGGAAATGATAACACATCCAACTGGGATTCTCTCACCATATGAATACAGTCCTATCTCCCATAGCTTCTACAGGGGGATACTTCCACAGGAGTGATTACCTTTAATCACTTTCCGTCTTGGGACTGACCAGGCTTGGTGGACTTTTGCTGCTGAGTGTCTCTCAGAGTAGGACCTGGATTTCCTCCATCCAGTATGACAGGGAAATAACATTATGTGAAATCACTTCATCACTTGAAATCTGAGTTTAAATGTTCTGATTACAAAGTAATGAAGGAAACTAAAACTCAACTTTGAATTTCTCCTGTTGCTCTCCATTTTCCTCTCCTGCATGTACATGTCCCAGAGCTCCCTCTAGCTTTGCCAACAGGTTTCATACTGTAAAACAAAAGCAAGTCATCACCTGCAGTTAGAACATATGTATTAGCTAACAACAGCTATGCTAACTGCAGGCAAAAATACACAGCTTTGGTCATATTGTGACCAAATGTTGGAAACAAAATACCTTTGTTTGTTTTTTAATTTAACAGGCATTTCTTGCTCTTTATTGATGTCTTGCAAGGCTTTGTTTTTCTTTTGTCAGTCTCTGTAGGTGCACAGAGAGCTAGTGTGAATCTCCGAACCACCACGATGAGTTTCTTACCCATTTCTGACATCATTGGTCAGTGATTGGCAATCACACTATGGTGTTAAATAAATTTCTTACTCAAAATAAACATGGGCACGAAAAGTACTCACACAAAAATTACCAAGATCATGTCACCTATTAGGGCGTTGTGTCTAAACATTGACTTTCTTTGGCGTTTGCTTGGGCCACATAATACATTTAGGGATAAGAAGCAGTCTACATTGTTTTTTTTTTTTTTTTGGTGGCTGCTACATGAGGGGCCAGTATATTAGGCCAATGCAGTTTTAGAATGAAAAATGGGGGACACATTTATAAAGCTTTTTTAATGAGCTGTATGTATTACTTGAACAAGGGGCTTGCTATTCAGTAAAATATAAAAGCCTTGCAGTCCAGATACCACTCCTCTTGGGTCATAATGAATTCCAGCTAAGTTATTACCAACTGTGGAAAACCGAATAAATAATTTCTTCTGATGAAGTGTACAGAGTTCACCTCAGTTCATCCACTGATGCCCTTCTTGGTTCACAAAGCTGTTTCAGTGAATTGAAAAAAAAAAAAAGTTTTATCATTATTTCTTGTTTTCTTCCTGAACAGATCGACTGGATCTTGTACAGCAGAGAGTAAAGGCTCCTAATGTGTTGTGTGAGGGGGATGTATTCCCACTGGCGCCTTCAGAGAGAGGTAATTGGAGAGATATAGAGAGACTTGCTGACACATGACTTGTTCTAGCTGGGAGGGCTAGGTTCTGCCTTTCCTCCATCCCTTTATTTCAGTCATGTCTGCTGTGCTGAGGAACTGAAACAGACGCCCAATCTCTGGCTGCTCCCACTTAACCAGCCTTTAACTCGATTGGCTCTCTGCTCCACAGGGCTTGCAGGACACACAGCCCAGTTCACACTCTGAGATGTGATGAAGCAATACTGTAATTCAATATAATCCATGGACAAAGCAGTGACAGGACCTCATCAAGAACTTTGCACTCTGTCTTTGCTTTTTTCTTCAGATGAAAAAAGAAAGAAACATCCAAGAATTGCTGTTAGCAACAAGAATAAGTTGAAATGAAAGAGGACAGGAAATTGCAGCACACCTGTTGTATCTCTCATGACCCGGCTCAAAAAGGCAGGACTACAAAAATGGAAAGAACACGGTCAGGCAAACATTTATTACCAAGGTGCAGTGACTCAAGTGAGACCCTGTCCACCAGTGACCTGCAGGGAGACAAACAGAACCAGCAAAGGGCACCAGACCCACAAAGAACTAAACCCACGCAAATAATACTGAAGATCACTCATAAAGAAGCACTAGATACTGAAGGGGAAAAGACAGTGAATTGACAAGGAGAGGAGGAACAGAGAGAGTAAACACACAAGGTAATCAAACACAGGTGTGACACAAACACAGGCAAAGGGAATCAGAGTTATCAAAAAGAAGATAAAACAGAGGAAGTAAACACAATAAAACTAAACACAGATGTACAAAAGATGTCTGTAATTAATATCTGATCATTCCTCTAAAACTGCAGAAAACATAAAAAAATAAAACCATTGAATGAAATGATGGTTAAAATTTCTCATCTTGTTGAGGGATTTATCTGAGTACATCATCATTTGGGTTAACTGCTCATTACCTCCGCCAAGGAGGTTATGTTTTCGGTAGCATTGGTTTGTTGGTTTGTTTGTTTGTCTGTGAACAACTTTACGGAGAAAGTTACAGACGGATTGACCTGAAATTTTCACCAGAGGTGCGTCTCAGCCCAAGGAGGATCCCATTACATTTTGGTGGTGATCTGGATCACCTTCTGGATCCAGGAATTTTTTGAAGGATTCTTTATCATTGTGAGATAGGGCAAATTTTGGAAGTTTTGCATTTCACTCTATAAAAATGTCCAGAGTCTTTAGTAAAAAATTACACAAAAGCATCTCAATGAGTTTTATGAGGTGTCAAAGGTTGATCCTGATCCAGACAAAATTCCGGATACTATGATCCAGAACACACAAAAATAAGGGTGTCGTTGGAATTTTCAATGCTGAAAGATAACCAATGGGCGGCACAGTGGTGTAGTGGTTAGCACTGTCGCCTCACAGCAAGAAGGTCCTGGGTTCGAATCCGGGTCAGGGCATTTCTTGTTTTAGGAACATTATGAACAGTGAACATACCAGTTTAAACACAAATAAAAGTTAATAAAAGACACGTAACAGTAAAAGTTTTGGTGTGAATCACAATATAAAGGGGGACATGAGCTGCTTGGCGGAGGTCTGCGCTCTCCGAGTGCTTTTCTATTTTACACTCATTCAGTCTTACTTTCACCATAAAAATGCATAAAGCACACTAAATTGACAATCAAACTGCTCCACCTCCACCAATATCATTCATCTATCTACATACATTATTAAAACTGACATGAAAATGTTTAGTTTTCATCAAGGAGACGATGATTATGAGATGAAAATCATTTAAGTGGTCCATTAGTATGCAAGCTTACATTGCAATGTAAGCTTGCTAAAACAACAAACACACATACATTCATACACACACACACACACATACAAATAAAAATTACATCTGCAGGCCTCTCTTTTTTTTCCCCCTCAACTTTCCTCGTCACAACCAGCTCCTAACGTCATATCCATGAAATGTGGTCTATTCTTTTTTTTTCTGCTATTTGATGCTTTGATCGTCATTAGCTCTACTGTATGTTGAAACCACTTAGGAGAACACTAGAGAGAGTGTATGAAAGGGGTGCTCAGCTATTTTGATTAACTTTAAATCAACAGAAATGTTGCAGACGAGGACGTGGTAGATAGAGTGTCGGCCCAACATAACTGCCCAGGGGAGTTGTTTGGACTGAAGCTCTTTGATTCTTGACAAGGCGTGAGGCTCATTCTTACCGCAGCAGATCAGCAGGGACAGCACTGCATTGAAAGGATGCAATGCAAGGTACAACCTTGATACCGACTTCTGATAAACCTTGAAAACATTTAAGATTTTGACTAAAAGTAAAGACTTCCTGTCAACTAAAACTAAAACTTTACTGAGATATGACTACAATTATAAAGAGCAAAAATGACTTAAATGTGACTAAAATTGAATTGAGTTTTTGATGAAAGTCAAAGACTTTAAACACTTAAACACTTCGGACCCACAGGCCCACTTTGAAGAGGAAGGGAAAAACATTGTTTGCCCTCCATCCTAGTTTATCCATCTTAACAAAATTGCAGGAGAGACTGACTCTGTCTTCACTGTGGAAGGCTGTGTCACATATGTCAGTAAAGTAGTGCAGGTAGCTGGCCAGTGGGGCCAACCGGGCCCATTAATAGACATCAAGGTCAAAGAGAAAGATGCAGAGGTGAAAGTCTGCCTCTGGCGAGAAGCCACATTGGCTGAACTCTGCCCCGGAAAGCCATGCTGAATTAACCACCTTCGTGTGTTTTTTTTTTTTTTTCCGTTTTTTTACATAAACAACCTTCTCAAATGTAGAATGGTGACCAAGCACGTCCAGATTACTGTCAAGGGTTTCTGTTTCAAAGAAGAGGACGACTCTGTAGAAATCCTCAATGAGGCTGTGGTTGAGTGGCTTGTCCCACACTAACTAAAAGTTCCCCGATTCCCTCAGGAAAATACCAGAAAAAGTGATTATTGTTTTTGAAGTAGGAGTTGTAATTGACAATTTGTAAATATATTTGTTAAGCTCTTTGTAAATAGTTAATCTTTAGAAACTTTAACCACCCAAAAAATATTACTTAAATCAGTTTAAATGTTTTTTTTTTTGTTTAGTGTCATTTCAAATGTTACTTATGTAACAATATTTAAACTAATTATTAAAGAAATGCTCTACTTAAAATAAATAAATGAATAAATTAAAAAGGCATTTTCATGGAGTGGCTGACCAGGTTTGAATCGGCGAGCTTGCAGTGCACTTTTTGCGCCGCTGTCGGGCATGAAAATATCACTGTGCCAGTTGATTGTATCAACACCTCCCTCTACTACACCTCCCTCTACTCCGCTGCCACGCCCAGCTTGGCACATCTTGGTGCACCTCAGTCTATGAAAATACTAAACTGGCTGTGCACTAGGTGGCACTGCACAGGGTGCACCACCCTGCTCTGCGCCACTGGTGGGCATGAAAATAGAGGCCTAAGACTTTCAGGTCGCTTCACACATTTGGGGACTCTCCTCACCAGAAGGACTATCCCAAAGTGGCGCTTGTCTCAAAGTTGTTCTCCTTAATCAAGCTTCTTTGTCCTCACTAACATTTATCCTGGCCATTAGTGGCTGCTGAGTCTTTTGCGTTCTTTCAAACAATCTGATGATCATTTTTTCTCATTGTTCAGCCATGCCAAAACAGAAAGGAAGAGGATAGTGATAAGATCAGGGTTTTAGATCATAACCAGGTGGGCTGCATTTGTTCCTCTTCACACATCACTCTTCTCTATCCCCCTGACCCTTGAATCTCTTCCTCTGCACCAGATATGGGGACACAATGACAACCGGCTGCAGCAGCTGCAATGCTAAAAATGCAACTCAAAATTCCTGATAGATTTTTGGTGTCTATTTCAGATTTTTCACTCTACTTCAGGATTTATCCAACTTCTTTTTCTTTATCCCTTTATTCACCCTCCCGCTCCTCAGTAAACCCTGTCTCCTCCTGTCTGTCTGATTCATGGTGTCAGTGTCTGTCCTCTCTCCTCTGCAGCTGGGAGGCAAATATCAAATCTTTCCATTCCCCCTTCCTCCCCCATCCCTCCACCCCCTCTCTGCCTCACTTATTTCCTCTGCTGTGATCCATAGGTCAAAAGATACATCAGTAATGGGACCAACAAACTAAAGAGTTCAAGCTTAAATCGTTTTTCTTGGTCTACTTTTCCAGAGATATCCTTTGTTCTTTGGCCTGCGCTTGTGAGAGTAGTTGTCTTGTAAATGCAATTGTTTGTCTCCTTTTTCTTTATATTCCTGGTTCACTGGACATAAAATCAATAATGCAGCAAATGACCACATTATCTAGTTTCACATAGCCTGGAGTAAAGAACAGACATAACGTAACTCAGTAAGAGAGCTAAATTAAAATATGACTAAAGTTCTAACTACAAAAACTTAAACAGGGAAGTGTCATTCAAAACGGATTTTTATTGCTTTGCATTTATTTAAACCTTAAGCTAGATTAAAAATAGTGCAAAGCCATCACCTCAAATGTTTACCTGCAAAGTTACATTTCAAAGAAGTTTGTATTGGGACAAAAGAAAACATTAAAAAACTTATTTCATGCTTAAGAAGAAAAAAAACCATCTATAAATAGATTAGAAACAAGGTTGTGTACAAAAACTGCATATGAAACAGCCTCTCAGTGGTAGAGATGGCAATAAGTTCATCACTTTGTGAGAGACCTCATTGGCAAAGGGGTCAACAGCTTCATTATCAAGCTCATCTGTGAGAAATTAGATTCCAAGATGGGGTTGCAGCAGGGCGCCAGGGTACTTTGCTCTCACGTTTTTTGTGTTTTTGTTTGGCATTCTGCTCTCCCTCCCAGGTTATCGTCACCAGAGAGGAACTCTGAAATATTGTTTCATCTTTTTTGGCACTTTTTACGGATCCAGGAGGTTTGAGATAACCCTTTACAGGAACCACATCTAAGCTCAAGGCCTCAAAAAATTGGTGAACACCTTTGTCACGTAAACTTCCCTTGTCTTTCCATCTCATATGATCCCTTTTACTGCTGTTCTGAATTGCAGCATGAACAAGAAATGCAACAAATTTTTAAAAAGTGAACAGTTTCTCTTTTTTTGAAAGCAAACAGCCAGGAGGCTGACAGCAAGCATTTATCACACAGATGAGACTCAGGGGTTCAAAATTACCCATGTTCTCTCGCACTCAGCCACTTTATTTCATAAATCTCTTCCTCCCTCAGTCCGGCACCCACACACTTACACAAACACTCAAGCACAGCCACGCTGAGACCATGACATGGGATCAATTTTATTTTTATTTTTATTCCAAGTCAATAAATGAAAAAGGCTTCCAACTGCTGTCCCAAAATGAACCCCTATGGCAATCAGAGATAAAAATAATAGACACACACTTACAACCACACATCCCAGTTGTATGTCCTGGCAAACCCACTGTATCCAATTAGAGTCAGTGTCTGCTTTGGGCTGACTTCAGTAACACTAAGGCCTCTGCTCTCGCTGTCATATTGGTCCCACTGAGCTAGACAAAATCCATCAATATACCAACTGTTCTGAATCCACTTTCTGAAACGTCTCCCTGGTCTCTCTTCTCTTCACTCATTACTTTTCTTGTTTGAACAGTGGAAAGGCTTCTGAATTGTAGTCAGGATATTTCTGATGAGTGTTAAGAGCCATATAAGGTTATGGGGCTGCAACTTCAGAGGTGAATAATGGAAACAGTTCAGGGTGTTATTATCAAATCCCAAATCCCAGGCCCTGGTTAAAAAAGGAACATTGACTCTGCACATGAACCAAGCAGAAAAAAAAAGTATATGCAATTATAAAACCCATCAAGAAAAATGTTGAAGCAAGTAAGCTCCCCAAATTGAGATCTAAAATAAATTCATGTCAGAAATAGTAGCTGTTCAGGGTTTCCCTATGCACTCCTGTGTCAATGAATTGCCTTTTTTACTGCCTCCAGATTCCATAGACAAGATCTACATCATCTCAAAGAGTATAAGAGCTAGTGCAAAGTATATCATCACGTCTATCTAAGGATATTGTATGAGGCCTTTCTTTGTCACTGATCCTGAGTAGAATTGCTCAAGTATTAGAGGATTTTTTAAATGTCTTTAATGTCTGTTTTGAAGGCCAAGAGGAAGAGGTGACAACATGCCCCGAAGAAACGAGGCGCCACTTGATTCCCACTATGTCATCCCTTGCCGTTTGCAGTGAATTTGTCACCCGAGTCTGACACCAGTGTAGCTATCATTAGCTATAGCTATACCCATTTGCATGATGTAAACACTCATAACCGAGGGCTAAGGGGTAAGACAAGGGCTAAGGGGTACAATTGGCATTGGCCCTTAGACTCCTAACATGAAACTAACAATTCTTTACACACTCGTACCGATTTAACAATTACATTTACAGACTGTAAATACTGTGGTTATACCTTTTTGGAAAGTCAGCAGTGTGAAGGTCCTGTAAAATGAGTAAAAATGATCAATAACCCAAAATATATATACAAAAAACCCTGAACGGTTTCAATTAAGCCTGATCCAATTGGTATATTTGGAGATCTCTCCTCATGTAGACATGCTTAACATTCATACTGCAGAGAGATTGCTGCAGGCCACTATTAATTAGAATTTTTACTAACGAAACTTCTCGACCTCATGATTGACTTCAACTAATTTTCAGTCAGCTCCAAGTTTGCTGCAGTATTTTTATTAAAAGTCCAAATAACTTTCATATCCCAGTTAATTTACTGAGTGCATGGGAGACAGGTCTGTTGAAGACTAAGGTTGTTCCCATTTTCTCCTCAATGGTTCCCTAACACATCCAACATGCTGTGCATTTTTCATACACTTGCTGTAAGATCCTTTAAGATTTGTCATCTTACTTTAAGCATCCATGCAAGTACTGTAGCTTAATAAGACAGTACATGAACACTCCAAACCTGCACCAAATCAAATACACTATAAAAATTGATGCAGCCAATGTCTAAGTCCAAGTCCAAGTCTGAGTGTCAGTACTTAGGTCCAAGTTGAGCCAAGAGTGCAGAAAGTCTGTTGATACAATGTGCCTTTTGGTTAAAGTGAAACAGTGAATATCTACTGCAACTTCCAGCTCTAGTTGAAACAGCTGAGATTTTGTTTAGAGGTGGATGTTTGTCAGTATCATGTATGAGTATGTTTGTTATGACAGTGACCCAAGCTTGCTCCAAGACAACAACAAGATCAATGCATGTATAAAAACCAATGGATCATTTTCCAATTCTTTTTTAACATCACCTTTTACGTGCAATTGTAATAAGGTATTTGGTTTGAGGTAAATTCATGTCCAAAGAAAGAGAGCCCTAAATAAGTTATGAGCATAAACTGAGTCAAATTGTCTTTGTCATGTTACATATCCTGGATTCAGTGTTGGAAACGCACAAAGACATTAAAGAATTAGGACCATCCAATTATGTTGTCCCATGCCTGCAAATTCATACTTATGTTATATATTAAGAGCTGGGTGAACTGCATGTGAACTGCATGTGTCATAAATGAATTAACACAAGTATGAAGGCTGAGAAAGACACTAAGCTACAGCTTTTCTACCATTTATATTCAAATGTGAACCAATTCCTGAGTTTCTCTGCAGTATGGGCCGACGACTTTGATTTCAGTTCAATCTGAATTGCTAAACCATCCCTAACTTGAAGCTGAAAAAGTAAAACTCTTAGAGTTACAATGTGACATATTAAAAGGGCTTGGCAGGGTAAAGATCCCCATAAAGTCACAGTGTGGTCTCATATCTGTCCCCCCGCTATGTTTCTGTCAATGTCTGCCTCTCCTTGGTTTCCACTTGTCAGCTCTGGGAAACGGATTCACGACTGAGAACACAGCAGAGAAAATGAGTGCAGTCTGTCCAAGCTAAAGACATCAGAGCATCAGTCACCTCCTCCCTCCCTCCCTCAGTCACTTTCACTCTCAATCCCCATCCCTCTTAGTTTGTCTCCCCATTGAGTCTTTAACTGTGTAAAGTTTAGCTTATGCAAAAGTTCCAGTTTTAAAAAAAAGTCAGAGTAAGGGCAGATCACGATGACTGCAGATTCTGAATATCTGCAACAAAATTGTGGCATTAAGTCACTGAACGCTGGCATGAAATGGGATTTTAAAACAAGCAATAAGTGTGTTGATGTCGGGGTGAATCATCCTACTCATTGTCTTCAAAGCTGTAATGGTATTAGTGACTGCAAAAGCTGTAGAGCTTATTATTCCTTAATGTCCCTCAACACAAAGCATTTTTTTGTGTTATTACCAGTAAAGTATGATATATTGTCTGAATGTTTCACAAGCAGTGCCCTATATGTGTGGCTGCCTGACTTCTGACTCTGATTATTTTTCTATATGTTTGAACTTTTCAGAGAATTGTGTGTGTACTGCTGGCTGTGAAGCAAATTGCCCCTCAGGAATAATAAAGAAATCCTTGATCCTTGATCACTCAGTGACATTTGATCTCAAGTGGCATGAACAGTTGTGGTTACACAGTCTCAGTTTTCTTGAAACAATAACATTGCCATGAAACTTTATGCCCAAATAGCTTTGATAAATTAGTGCTAGTGTGATTAAGCCATATTTTGATGGTTTCAAATATTCAAATTTGCAAATCCCTGCAAAACTGTAAATGTTTTCACCAGCTTCAGCTACCCTCTGTGTACACTGCTGACAAGAACATTGTAAACACTGAATGCATCACTGTGTAAGTTCTTTTTCTGTAATCAAATGAGCTTTCTAATGCAAGCATTTGGATCAAAATAACACTGTGAAGTGTTTCTGATGAAATAAGTCCTCCTGGTTGCTTTTCATGTTAGTCATACAGTAGTGTACCATATGAAACTGTTGTATCAATAAATGTTGTTTTTATGTTTGGCCATGCAAGTCAGAACTTAGCTATACCTTAATCAATCTCTGACATGAATGTTCTTGAAAACAAAAAAATGAAACATAGATTTCATCTAAGAAGGTTCTACAGCTTTCGTATACATACACAGTATTCAAAAGGAAGTTGTGGGCTCAAGCCATAATGTGTCAGTTTTGTTCATATTTTTATTTAGCTTGTGGGCTGTAGTTAAACAATGTAAAATTGTAAAGTCCAAAATTCTGAGTCCAAAGCATCTCGCAAAACGTGAATTTGTGTTTATCTGACAATGTTTTCTTCCTAAGCTAATCAAACAGGCTCAAACCGGCATGTTGGACTTCTCTCCACTTATTATTGGTGCGTTCTGAGCTCTGAGTCGGAAAATTAACTGGAACGCCCCCCTGAAATCGGATTTTACCACTCAGAAAGTCAGACGATCCTCACCAACCCTGACTTGACAACGTCATGATCAAAGATGGCAGCGCAGTGCATCAACAGTAAAGGGTAACAGTGAAAGCTCTCATAATGTATTATTTATCAACACTTCTGTTTTGTTTTTGTGAAATTGAATAAGTGGTAAATGCTGTACTGCCCAACGTCTAACTGTGAACACTGTGCTATGGTGTAAAATACTGTGTTATGTGTGTTTACAACTGGTATAGCTTCAACGGCTGACAACAGCTGACAATGGCTAACGACAGCTGACAGTTGTCAACAACTGCTAACAGTAGGCATCCATCTTGGTTTTCCGACTTGTTAACTAGAACGCCATCAACTCAGGTGTAACATCATTCCCAGCTCCGACATCCGACTTCTGAGGTAACTGGAACGCAGTGCCTAAAAGTGCTGAAAAATGCTGAAATTGCTCACATGTCATAGTAAAGTTGTGCTGATGCATAAATTGATGTTGTATCTACTAAAATAATTCCTTTACACAGCAAAAAACTGTTGGTACAAATAAAAGAGACCTGTGATGTTGGTAACATCTCAGACAGGAGTTTTCTGCCCATGCAGTTGGTAGAATAAAAGTTGCCAGTGGGGATGTCCATGTCTCGTACCCTTGTCCTATATTCAAAGTGGTATCATGATATAAAGAGACAAGGCAGCCAGAAAGCTTGCATTTTTTAGCCCACTTTCCTATAGGAAAACTCAATTTTACGGTGTCAGTACATATACCATTACTTCTCTATGAGTGGGTGCTGATGTGTATGCGTGTTAAAAGCAGAGAAATGTGCAGTCTGATGCCTTCTCACTGTGCCACTAATGCTCCCTTAAATTTCAAAATCTCTGCCACAGGCTTCAGACCTAAGAGCAGACTTATGTAAGTCTAAGATGCTGGCAATTCTGCATCCAAAGATGGCTTCACATCACCAGTGCAACTGAAAACAACTCATATTGAGACCAACTCTGACATGGGAACAGGCCCATTTGTTATTTATGCAACATGGATACTTGGGGTGCAAATGACTATTACACTGAGGAAAGGAAAGAACAACAATGCATGTGCTGCACTTCAGGATGCTTTACAACATGTGCTTGTAAGGGTCCTATGAACTTTCCAAAGAATTACTGCACCAAAAATAGTGTATTATATATATTTATATATATATATATATATATATATATATATATATATATATATATATATATATATATACATGATTGTTCTGGATAATCCACTGTTTGTCATGAATTCTGGTATTAACATGCAAATTAATGATAATAAATATGTTAAACTTCATTTCACTCAGGAACTTGGCACTGTGTTGTTAAAGTGACTTTATTTTCAGTAAAATTAAAGTACAATTAAGTGGACTGATCTGTCAAGGTGACAGTGTTGCTAAGTTTAACACTGAGCGTATGAGTTTAAAATGATTAATTAAAAAGGTGAGCAATTAATCATTCTCAGCTTGCTTTGCAGACACACTCTGCAAGACTCTCTGTCGACACAGCTTGCTGCTTTGCATCCATGAATCATCTCTTCATTTGAATTTAATCTCACTTGCAGCCTTGAAGGGCTTTGAAGATGCGTTATTTTGTGAGTGTCCTAAATAAACAACAACCAGACATCCTGAGTGCTGCTTTTACCACCACTTTATCAGAAAACTTAGGGTATCAAGGCAAGTCCCTAACTTGTGAAGTCCAATCTATTTGCAGTCTGTTCAGTCGTTTCCTGAGCCTCCAGTGTGCTTCAAAGGCCGTTTGCAGACAGGCAGTTTGGGCTGTGAGCTTGGTGTTTGGCAGGTAACATGACGCCTCAACGATCCCCCTCATGTCAGGCTTTTATCCCCAACTAACAGTTTCACAGATCTAATCTTTCTTCCTCTTCCTGCACGCAAACACACCCAGCAGTGGGTGAATGATGTTGGAGGTGCCACTCAAACATCAGTTACGTTTGATTGCCATGCCTTTCACTCAGCGGATTTCTGTTCAACCTCCCATTGGATTTCCTAGAGACCCGATTATGCCTCCACACATACAACATAAACAACACAACAAATAGCTTGGTTATCGACAGCCTCACAGAAATATAAAGAGGAAGAGTGGGGACTTTGTGTTAACATCCCACATCTAAAGATGTTTGACAGTAATATATATATGTATATATATATAAATATTTAAAAAAAAAACAACGAAAAAAAAAAAACACCAGAGAGGACAACATCATTAGATTTTACCATATCACAGCCTGGACAGCTAGGTTCACACATAGACTACAAGAAACTAGATTAATCTTACTCTGAAAGGGCTGTTTTTGCCATCTGTTATTACAATCAATATCCATCTTAATATGTTGGTTTCTTTCTGATTTGGGTAACATTAGGTCAACATTAGGACTAGTCCTTTTTGGTTAAGAAGGTTCCAGAGCTAAACGACCTTGAAGACTTTGAGAGTCATCATGATCAGAGCTATTGAAACACTCAAAATAATCCATTAATACCTCTTTTAGCATAGGATACTTTGGACCATCTTAGCATCAGGGGTGTATATAAACAATGCAGTCTCAAACCATAAACAGACAGATACCGGATGAAGTTAGCAATGTCTAAGAAGGGACAGATATCAAGTTAACACCACTGGGTTTTAAAAATGTTCCCTCTTGAGTCTGAGCTTGTTAATGTAATGTATGAATTGTTTAAATTCTGACAATCAAAATTATGTCTAATCCAGAAAGAAAAAGCATCAGCATAAGGTATAACTTTCAAGTTGGGCCAAATGAAGTAGCTGATGTTAAACTTTCATATCTAACTTATGTATGGTTTGAGTAAATCATTTGCACATTGTAATTAGTTGATTGTATCACAACTTTGTCAATGTGGGCTTCCAGGGACAGTTAACTCCTGTGCAGGATTCCAAAAAGTGAGGTAATTTTGAAAACCGAGTTCAAGGTAAAACTAGGAATACATATGGCTTTCCCTTGCTTGTCCTAGATTGTCTACTGCTACTATGTGAAAGCAGTCCTCATCATGACTGCGCTAAGTTTATGATACTCTGATTTAGAAAAGGATTCTGCAAATGGGCCAAAAAAAGACACTAACTACAAAGCTCCTGCAGAGGGTGAAACACAACACAGACTGCACAGTCATAGTTCATAAGTGGCGTTTGCAAACATTTATATGAGCTATTATACATCAATCTGGAGTGAAATGTTCCCTTTTCGTTGCAATATGCCTCATTGCAAAAACACTAACTACACAAACACCAGCACTATAAGCCACATAGAGTTAGAGTGACATTTTCATCATCTGCTTAAACCATGTGGAAACTGCACTGAAGTGTCTGTGCTCAAATTCTACAGTGACCAAGACAACAATGCCATCTGTGGATGGCCAAGAACTGATATATCTGTACACAAATTCTGCTAATACTTTGAAACGACTGTTTTTATATTTATCAGGGGCTCAAAAGGTCTGGGCTGTCTATTTAGCTTCCTGCACATAAAGGCTGCACCATTACACACCAGGGGGTTATTTTATTTATATTTTATTACATGACAGATT